CGCGCAGTGTCAGGCCGCCAGAGCCACCGCGCGCGCAGGAGAGAAGCCCGAGCGGGGGTCTCGGCGTTGCCTCGGCCGGCGGGGGTCTGAAGGGAGGCGGGCCGAGGGCGGGGCCGGGCTGCAGTTCCGCCTGTGGCCTGCAGGGGACGCCTCAGGCCCTGCGCAGACGCCCTCTGGTGGGTCGGGAAGGGGAAGGCCCGGGGGCGTTGACCGCCCCTCCCCAGGGAAGCGCACGGCGAGTGCGCGTGCGGGCGGGTCGCAGTGCTGCACGCTCGGGCTATCCCCGATTTCCCGCCGCACCCGTCCTTCTCCCCACCTCTTTCGAGGCCCCGACCTCTCCAGGTGGCGGCCCTGGCTCCTGTCTCTCCCCCAGGTTGCGCGCCGGGCTCCCTGCTCAGAAATGGGCGCCCCGCAGATGCCCCCACGTGCTGGCGAGCCTGGCATGAAGCGCCCTCCCCCAGGGACCCGGACCGTGTCTGGAGGCCGTCACATCCCGGTCTGGGCCCCGCGTTGTGGGAGGCGGCCCAGGGCACTGTCATCGGGGTTGGGAGTACTGGGTGGGAGACAGGCCCGGCCAGCGCCAGAGCTCTCCTGGCCGAGGCGGGTCCGCGGTGACGGCCGCTTTTCGCCCATCGCTCGCAGCCCTTTTGCAGAGGCTGCACTTTGCTGCTGGTGTCAGGAGATGAAGAAGCGTTTCGAAATCAGGGCGGCCTCCACCCACACCGGAACCAGTGCAGGCCTCTGTCGGATTACTTCCGGCCTGGCCTGTAGTCACCCGGACTTGGCCCGAGTTCTCCAGCCCTGGTCCTGTTGGGTTGTGAGTCAGCACCAGGAGGGAGCTTGGACAAGGCTGACGCTCTGGCCTCAGTTTCCCTGTCTATAAAATGACTGGGTAGTTTGATCTAGACGGGCCTTCTAGCTGGAGGTCCTTCGACTGGCCTGAGGTCACCTCCTGCCCAAGGTCTTCCTCCTTTCTGAGTCACTGGGCTAGGAGGCTGCATTCCCACTGTGGTCAGTTAGCTCCCATGCCATCTGGGGTCACAGCCACCCCACCCCGTGGTGTCCCAGGTCACTCGTGGTGTCCTGGGGTCTGCAGCAGCTGAAAGGCCTCAATGCCCAGAACTCCAGACACCACTGGCCATCACTACTGCACCCTCTCTGGCCTCCATCTTTCTTACCCTTCCCAAATCATAATCTAGCGGACTTCCTCAGGCCCACCCTCTCCTGATTTCTGCTATCTTGAACTCCCCGCCAGCCTTAATTCCATGACATCACCTTCTAAATCCTCTGCCCACTCTCTCTCCCAGCCCCAGCGCCTATCTGTCCCCCATCACCCTGGTGCCACCTCCAGGCCCACATCTCGGGTCCTGCTGGTTATCTCTGTGCCCAGGTGTCCGAGTGACCCCACTCAGCAGTCCTGAGCCAAATCCAGCTACGTTTGCCCCATCCCCTCACATCAGCTCTGCTTCCTGGCTGTCCTGCCTCAGAATGGTACCATGGACCTTTTCACCCAGCTCCAGCTCCAAGTGCCACCCTGGGCTCCCACCTCTCTCCACCCCAAGTCTTGGCCATCCTGCTGAGCCGTGTTCTTCCCATCTGACCTTTTTACCTCTTCCTCCACCACCACCATCTTGATGCCATCTCTGGCCTGGGCAGAAGCAGTAGGCTGCCAGTCTCCCTGCCTCCCTGCACATCCTGCAGTCATCAGTGAATTGCTTTAGCACCAGCTCCCACCACCCCAGTCTTTGGAGCCTTCATGGCCAACCCAGAGCCTATCAAATAGAGGTCAGGCTCCCTGTCCACTCGTGTCTGCCTTCTGCAATCACTAACTACACACCAAGCTCGGCTTGATTGACCTCGGCACTCAGGGCTCCCATGTCAGGGCTCCTCCCACAGTGCTCCTGCCAACCAGAGCCCCTCTTGATGGCCTGGCCCCTCCCAGCTGCATCTAGCGCCTGCAGCAGCCCCAGAAGCCTTCCCCTCCCAACTGCCACAGTGTGCTCTGGCCATGGGCCCCTCAGCCTCGCTGGTGGAGCCCTGCACAGGGTGGGCAGCCACACACATCTGATCCATTGCCCCTGGGGCAGCCTGTAGGACAGTGGCATGGGGAAAGAGGAGTTGAGCAGAAGCCTTGGGGAGATGAGAGGGCTGGTGCTGGGGATCCCTCAGGACTCAGGGACCCCGACTAGGGTGCAAAGTGGGGCCACAGGGGAGGTGAACAAGGGTCCAGGGGCTGCAGGGAGGCCTAGAGGGCAGAGGGCCCAGTTATGACCACCCACGGTGGGGGGTCCTCAGCACGGTGCCTGGCGTGCAGTGGTGCTCACTCAGGCTGGGAGGGTCCCAGTCAGCCCGACGTGACTCCAGGCATGGGCTGTTGGCATCTCCTGCCTACCTGGGAAATGGGCAGGAGCCTCCCGCTCCTCCCGAGGAGGGGGAATGGGCATTGCACAACCTCCAAGAGGGGAGGGGGCTGCTGGGTGGGCAGGGGAAGGGTAAGAGGGAGGGGTGCAGGGGAGGACCCCGTCCCAAGGAGAGCCTGGCCGCCGGCAGGCTGGCCCTGGATGCCCTCCATGCAGGTGGCGGGCCACCTGGCCTCCCAGCGGCCTGCCACAAGACCCTGTCCCCTCAGGCCCCAGCCCAGCAGAGGCTGAAGAGCAGCAGGTCACTCGGCCCAGTAAGAGTCAGATACAGCCAAGGAGTCAGGCACCATTTTTTATAAAAACGCATAGTCTCATTTTCCACTCTTTAAAATCACATTCAAAAATCGGCAAAGAAACGCCCCGGGGAGTGAGTAGATGGGGGAGGGCGCACCGCCCCAGCCCCGCGGAGGCGGCACCACACAAAGTAGCGCGACAGCACAAGGGGGCATGCGGCGAGGTGGCGCTCTTCGGGTGGTGGCACTGACGGACATGGGGCTGGGCACACAGACCGTGGGGGGAGGGCTGGTCCCACTGTGTCCTCTCCTTGCTGCTGCCTGGCCCCTGGCCGGCCCGTGTCCTGGCGGGTGAGGCCTCGGCCCAGTCCTCGGGCCAGCCAGGCCGGTTTGGCACATTCCGCAGTGGCCTTTCTGTGGTCCCTGAGCCCGGGCCTGCAGGGAGGGCAGCAGTGCCCGCTATCATGCCACCACCTGGCCGAGGCCCACAGTGTCCAGGCAGGCAGGAATGGAGGCGGCCAGGGACACAGGAGCTTTTTCCAAAACAAGGGCAATGGAGCCCAAGTCACTGTGGGCGGACCTGGGACCAGAGAGACACGGGCCTTTTCCTCTGTCCAGCTGGCCGGTGTGCGGTACAGCTCGGGGCCTCCACCGCTCTGGGGCTGATTCAAGTAGCATCCCTGTGCCTTGCCCTCCCCTGGCTGGGCCTCCCAGTGTGCCCGAGGCACAGAGCTCGTGGGGCATCACCACCAGGGAAGGGGCCGGAGGCTGCCCAGGGCCGCTGCTCTCCCCCAACAGGAAGACACTGGAAGCAAGCGACCCCTGAAGGGGTCAGGACTGGGGGGCGGCTGGGTGGGTGGCAGCAGGAGCCGAGGCAAGCGGGCCCCTCCCAGAGGGCTGGGCCAGGCTGGGGCCACAGGAAATCACAATAATTACAAAATAAAACCTTTCCGCTTTGCGGGAAAACAAATAATAAAAATTCAACAAAATAAATTAGAGGTTTATAAAAGGCGGGCAGGCGGTGGGCGGGTGGTCAGAGGCCGTTGGCGCTGCCTCGCTGGATCAGTGGCACCTTGCTCAGCTCCACGACCGGCGAGCGCGGCTTGTTCTTCATCTTGGGCACTCGCTGCACCAGCTGCTGGGCCTCGCGGTAGGCGTCGCGCAGCTCCTTCTTCCACTGCACCAGCTCGGGGTCGCTCTGCACGACCCCGCGTACAGTCAGACGGGGCCACCCTGCATGTGCCCACCCGCCTGCCCACCCGCCCGCCAGCCCAGGGCCCACTCACATCACACTGCAGGATAAACTGCTTCCCGCCACGGATCTTGAGGAGGAGGCACTTGCGCTCCTTAATCTGCGTCTCCTCCACCGACTGGATTTCCTCCATGGTGAGGAGGCTCTGCTGCAGGGCAGGATGGGTGGTGAGAGCGCAGGACAGGGCCACCAGCCACCCGCTGCCCCGTCCCCTGCTACCTCACCCATGTCCACTGGCTGCCCCGACCCCCACTGCCCTGTACCCCAGCCGCCCTATCCTCAGGCCCCACCGTCCCCACACACCCCGTCCCCAGGCCACCCCATCCCCAGGTCCCCTGTCCCCAGACTCCCCCTGTCCCCAGGCACCCCAACCCCCATTCCTGGGCTCCCCACTCCTTACTGGGGCCTCGCCCTCGCCCCGCCACTCCAGCCGGTTGGGGAACAGGTAGAAGTACCGCCGCTGCCACTGGGTCAGGAAGGGGTTGCCCATCTTGGACATGTAGCCGTGCATGATGCAGTCCTTGCCCAGGGCGTAATCTGACCAACAGAGCAGACAAACTCAGCACCTGGCCAGCCCAGGGCTCAGCCCCAGTGCGGCCGCTTCTTAGCCACGTGACCTTGGGCACATTCCTCCAACCCAAGCCTACTTCTGCAGCCTCAGGTGGGCAGGGGCCCGGCACCCGCGGTGGCAACAAGCCCTCACCCTCCTCGTGGCCTAGCTGCTTGTTTTTAGCTTTCTTGCGGGCCTCCAGCCGGTCTGTCTCCATGTTGATGGTGTCGAACACCGTCTCCGCCACCTCCTGCTGCCACCGCTCCGAGAT